GCTGTGGCTCAAGTGGTAGAGCGCTAGCCTTGAGCTGAAGAGCTGAGGGACAGTGCCCAGGCCCAGAGTTCAGGCCCCACAACCGGACCCAAAAAAAAAAAAAAAAGAAGGCTGGTTCTGAAAGGAGGAGAGGAACCCAGAGTCTGGACTCAGGAACAAAGATGCTTACCAGGAGAAACAACAGGCCCAGATGCCTCCAGCCACAAGGACATGTCTTCCTAGAGCCCTGGACATTACCAAGGCACTGTCCGGCAGAGATGACCCAAGTTACACTCTTCCAAAATTGGGTTTCTTTGGGCTTTCAGCTCCCTTCTCTTGTGCTTGCTTTCTTAAAAAAAAAAAATCACTTCTTACATTATGAACTGACATTTACTTCTTACATTATGAACTGACATTTACTTCTTACATTATGAACTGACATTTACTAGCCCTTGCTCAGGTTTCACAGGCCTTCTTCATTATGTCTCAGTGAGGTCAGGACTATTCTTTTTTTCAGTCCTCGGGACCAAACCAACGGCTTCACACAAACCTGAGCAACCTCTCTTCCACTGAGTTACACACTTAGCTTGTCAGGACTACTCTTAATCCCATTTGAAAGATGAACAAACAGAGGTTCAAAAGTTTAACTAAATTGCTTAAGGCCACACAGTTCAGTGATGGTAAAGCCAAGACTGCAACCTCAATTTCTCAGAAACCAGATATGATCCTCCATCACTGTGCTGCCTTCTCTCCACCCTCCTGCATGCTATCATAGCCTCTTCTCTTCACTCTAGCACCGGTGAGAGCCAAAGCTAGGCAGTACCAGGGGACAGGATCAAGGCTGAGTGCCCGAGTCTCACTCCTGTCATTTGCAGGGGTCCCCACATAAACCTGTTGCTCTGCGAGTCTTCCCAAAGCCCCTGCTGAGTTCTTCTAGGAATCCAGCTCCCATCCCCAGCACTCCTCATTTCTCACACCCCCCCCGTAAGATTCTGATGTCCACCTTTCCCCCCACCCTAGACACCCACACAGAGCCCCCAGCTGCTGCCGAGGAGGGACCCACCAAAGCTCCAGGCCACCAGACTTCCTGGTTGCGCAGTCTCTGGAGCCCCCTTGCTGGGAGAAGTGGTTGGTGCAGTTCCCGGTCCAGGAGTCCGAGGCAGGCCGGTGACCAGAGCTGAGCAAGGAAGAGGGACCTGAAGCCCAGAGAAGCAGAAATGTGAGTCGGGCTACCTCTCCTTCCTGCTGCCGACAAACTGAAGCCCTGGCCTCCTTGGCCCCCACCCACAGGGTAGTTAGTTCCCCCACCAAGCTGACTCCTCCCTGGCTGCTCCCCCCTCCCCCGCCCCCCCCACCCGAACCAAGACAGTCGCCTTTCGGTCCTCTCTCTGCCTTCCTCTCCTTACCCTCTTACAGGAGTGTTCCCAGGCGCCTCTTTCCCGACAGCCTCCAGCGTCAGCGTTCCCTCCCCTCTACAGACACCTCCGAGAGCAAAGGTCCCAACACGGCCCGGGAATTGCGACACCAAGCTCCAGACTTCGTTCCCAGCCTCCCTCCTCCTCCTCCTCCTCCTCTGCCTCTGGGAAGGGGCCAAGCTCTCCCCGCTCAGGTCTGAGCCAAGCTGGTAGAACTCCAAGAGTGGAGAGAGGCAGGTGCTGGGCCTTCCCGAGTCTGCACATGGGTGCCCTGCAGGGGCCGAGAGAGAAGCAGCCAGGAAAGAGGGAGGAAGTCAGCTGAGCAAGGGCAGGCTTGGGACAGGGGTGAGGGTAGCAGATGGACGCAATCCAGGGACCAAGGTATGCAGGTTGCTTCATCTGGCACAGTCCCATGGGAGGCTGTGGCACTACCCACTGAGACTACAGCCATACTCCTGCTCCTATTGCATGAGACAAGGGAGCCATCCCGGAGGAAGACACCATTTTTTTTCTTTTATTTTGGTCGTGGGGCTTGAACTCTGGGCCTGGGCACTGTCCTGGCACTCTTCAGCTCAAGGCCAAGCACTCTCCTACTTGAGCCATTGTGCCACTTCCGGTTTTCTGAGTGGTTTTTTTATTTTTTTTTTTGGTCCGGTTGTGGGGCCTGAACTCTGGGCCTGAGTGCTGTCCCTCAGCTCTTCAGCTCAAGGCTAGCACTCTACCACTTGAGCCACAGCGCCACTTCTTTTTTCTTATATGGTGCTGAGGAATGGAACCCAGGGCCTCAGGCATGCAAGGCAAGCGCTCTACCACGGAGCCAACTTCCCAGCCTTCTGAGTGGTTTATTGGAGAGTCTCAAGGCCTTTCCTGCCCAGGCTGTCTTTGAACCGTGATCCTCAGATCTCAGCCTCCTGAGTAGCCAGGATGACAGGCATGAGCCACTGGTGCCTGGCACCATGTTTCATTGATCTTTAGCTCTTCTGGGGTCAGGACCTGGCTTAAAGGAGGCAACAGAGTAGGTATTGTGTTTCTCTGTGTTGATTAAATAAACACACACAAAAAAATGATCCTCTTCAATGTCATCCTTGTTAGCTTAAGTCTATTTCAACTCAGCACTTTGACTTAGCTTTTGGACTGTGGGCTTCGATTCTAGGTTCAAACCCTGGTCTTACCTATCTCTCACTATATAGCTATCTACCTAGATAGACGGACAGATAGATGCAGATATAGTTAGTTAAATAAGCTCCCTTCCCGTAGCTTAGTACACTCCTTCCTCTCCACAGCTTGACATGCTCCCTTCCTAGGCAACACCAGGCCCATGTAGTAAAGGCAGTAAATACTCTGCCTCCAACCCCCTTTACCTTGGCATGGCACTTCTGTGGGGCAGCTACCACCATATAAGGCAACAAGAGCCCCTGAGAGTGACCTTCAGGTCTGGGCAGCTGCAGGGCCCCTTATTTAGGCAGCAGCCATAAATCCTAGTCTGCCATGATGAAGCCCCGGCCCTCATGTCCACACCAGGGTCTCCGCCTCCTAGCCATTTCTGGCCCCTCCTAACCTCCCAGGTTATACAGGTCACCCCAGACAATAGCTGGTGCTTCTTCTCACTTCTCCCGTGTGAGAAAGGGTCTTGCTGGCCCCTTCCCAGCAATAAACCTTTCTTTGTTCTCTGTACCTAGATGTCTGTGTGGTTCTCTGTAAAATTCCAAATAATCTAATATAGAGAGATTTTTCACCCTCATACAATGTTGGATCCAACCCAGGGTATGTCTTTCTAGGCAAGTGCTCTACCATTGATTTATACTCCCAGCCCAACTGTGTGTTGCTTCCCGTGTGTTGGCCTTACCATGTAAGGTCATTGTGAGAATTACATACATCATAGCACCCTGGGGCACACAGTAGGTATTCAAAAACTGGCAGCCATTATCAATACCCTTCCAACACCTTTGGGACTAGGAATGTGTAATGTTTAACACGCTCCAAATCTTCATTTCCGTATGGAAACCCCTTACTCTCTGTAGAGCAACTCCAAGAAGGGAGAGTAAATATCTTGAGTTTACACTGCACTCTGAAGCTCCCGTGCGGGCCTTGCCCGAGACCACACACAGTCAGTCAGTGGCCAAGCTGGGATCAAAATCCAGATGTCCCCACTCCAGTCAGTGCCTGTGCTCTTTTGCTCCAGCATCAGAGTCCAGGAACTCTTGTCTTGTTGTTCTCAGGTCCGATGGACCAGTGAGGTACTAAGAGGAGAGAAGCGGACCATTGGGATACAGGGGGAGGGTCTAGCAGATGTGGAAGGCAGGGGCTGAGGTTACTGCTGGTCGTTCACCCCCTACCCCATTCCCAGTTTCCTGCTCACAGGCTCTTCCTGTTTTGCTGTGAACTCCTGTTCCCATGGGCCCACATTAAAGCCTAGTACAGGGGCCAGGGCAGGCAGCCAGTGGTACCAAAAATGGAGATGAACAGGGCACCAGGGAAGAGAACAGAGAGAACAGGGGAAGAGGGGACATGGGGTGTGGGAGAGGAACAGGATGAGAGGACAAGAAAGCTGAAGTAGCCAAGGGGTTTGGTGAAAGATAGGAGGAAGCTCAGGGTAGGACGGGGGAACAGGCCAGGGGCTGGGAGCACACGTGAGGAGACAGAAGGCGCGGGGGATGTTGCAAAATCTGCCCATGTATTCATTTTCACAGTTCAGAAAAGCCCCTCTGGAAGCTCCCATCTCAAACTTCTGCCTCCAAGCTTTTGCTCTTGTTCCCTCTCATCACAAGGTCATTCCCTCAGCAGACGCCACCCACCCTGGTCTGGGCACTTCTGAGTCATTCTCTATTCCTTCCACTCTACCCCTCTTTCATTTTCACAAGGTTCCACTGTCCTGGGAAAGTAACCAGGGACACTAGCCACTGGGGACTGGAATTGCTCAGTGCCAGCACCCACATCCGATGTATCCCCCATGATTTTTGATCCAAGCTTGAGCACAGCAGCAGTCAGAGATGTCCCTGAGACATCTACTTTTAAGGATCTTGGGTATATCCCAAGATATACACTCATCTGGGGCCTGGTAATGTATCTTAAGAAAGTTAACAAGGCTCTATTATCTCCTGACAACCTAGTCTCTCCAAAGATGACCACCCAGAATCCCCAGTTAGAACCCTCTGATCCAGGCTAGAGCCCAGGCTAGACCTGCTGAATGAGCAGGTCAGGGAGTCAGCTCAGTCTAGTCTCCCAGAGGTGCTATTGCATTTGCCAATGCTTCACTGCTATAGCTCCCCCTTCAAGTTATAGGGGCTGAGGAGACTCCCACATAAAGGGGAGAAAATGAGGGGAAAACCAAGAACTGTTGGCAATGTCTTTGGTTTCTGGTAACCAGCCACTAGCCAATCTGTCCAAAGCCAAGACAAGCAATCAGGTGATCAGCAGCTGGAATCATGTCATAGTTTGCTAGGCCCACCCCAATGGCATAATTCCATCAGTCCACAGGAAGTGTCAGGTCCAAAATGTCTCAGTCCTATGAGTGTCTCCTAATCTCTTACAGAGGCCTCAACCCTGGGAACACTCTTGGGAATCTCCCAAGCCACATTTCTGACCCTTAAAGCCTCCAGAGGCTTCTTCTGGAAGCAGAAATTGGTGCATATGCCAGCCCTTGGCCACCCATACTACCAGATTACTCCCTCCAATTCCACCCTTCCATGAAGCAGGCCATTAGGTACAATTTTCAGAGATGGACCAAGGCAACTGCTCCTTAATTCCTCCTTCACCATTCTGCAAAGCTGTGGGGTTTTCTCACAGACCACAAGCACCCATTCAAGTGACTTTTGCCCAATTTCCCAACACATAGAAAAGAAGCCAGGACTAGCAAAAAAACAAACAAATAAGTTACTGGTAAGATACAAATACCTAATTTGAATATATATATATTTTTTGGGGGGGTCCGGTCGTGGGGCCTGTACTCTGGGCCTGGGCGCTGTCCCTCAGCTCTTTAGCTCAAGGCTAGTGCTCTACCACTTGAGCCACAGCGCCACTTCCGGCTTTTTTTTTCTTTTTGCTTATGTGGTGCTGAGGAATCGAACCCAGAGCCTCAGGCATGCAAGGCAAACACTCTATCACTGAGCCACCTTCCCAGCCCTAATTTGAATATATATTAAGCTCATTTAAAAGGTCAAAGTATCTTAAAAGAAAAAAAAAAACTTGAAGTGCTAGAGGTGTGGCTCAACAGTATTATGCCAGCCTACCAAGTTTGAGACTAAGTTCAAACCCCCAGTTTAAAAAAAAAAAATAGCAGAGCACTGAAAAAAATAGCAGAGCACTGATGGCTCACGCCTGTAATCCTAGCTACTCAGGAGGCTGAGATCTCAGGATCACAGTTCAAAGCCAGCCCAGGCAGGAATGTCCATGAGACTCTTATTTCCAATTAACCACCAGAAAATCAGAAGTGGTGCTGTGGCTCAAGTGGTAGAGTGTTAGCTCTGAACTGAAGAGCTCAGGGACAGAACCCAGGCCCAGAGTTCAAGCAATACAACCCCCCCTCCAAAAAAAAAAAAAAAGCTGGGCTCATACCACCTGTGATCCTAGCTACTCAGGAAGCTATCTGAGGACTGAGGTTAGAAGCCAGCTCAGGCCAGGCACCAATGGCCCATACCTGTAATCTTAGCTACTCACGAGGCTTAGATCTGAAGACTGAGGTTCAAAGCCAGCCTGGACAGGAAAGTCCATGATACTCTTATCTCCAATTAACCACCAGAAAACCAGAAATAGTGCTATGGCTCACATGGTAGAGCACTAGCCTTGAGCTGAAGAGCTCAGGGACAGAGGTCAGGCCCAGAGTTCAAGCCCCACGACAGACCGATGGGGGGTGGGGGGTGGGGGGGGAAGGAAAGCCAGCCCAGGCAGAAAAGTCCATGAATCTCCAATTAATCAGCAAAAAGTCAGAAGTAGAGATGTGGCTCAAGTGGTAGAATACCAATCTTGAGCAAAAAGCCAGGCAAGAACATGAGGTCCTGAGTTTAAGCCCTGGCACCAAAAACAAAACAAAACAACCATGGGGAAAATGGTTAGCTCATCTGGCTTTGGGTTTGCTTCTGCTAATGCAGGAAGCAGTTTTTCTTACCTTCCCAGATCCTGACCTTCCAGATTCTGATGTTTGTATGGGGGGATAGGGCCATGTATTCATTTATCTACCCATATACATCTTTTTTTATCTTTTTAACTTGAACTGTGATTAGGAACCAAGAACACAGCATCATCTGTCTGGAAGGAAATACACAAAATCTGGGTCATCAAGAAATTGAGGCTCTGTTCCAAGTCCATCTACACCCTTCCTGGATTCATTTCTCACTATAAAAATGGAAATAACATCTGCTTTCTCAATCCCTTCTACATAAGATACTTGCAGACAAAAAGGATATAGACATACTTGAGCAAGTTGGAAGAAAAACATTTTGTTCTACTTACTAAATTTTGGTAGCCTAAAAACTTATATTTTGAAAAGCACAGTCATCTAGCTAGTTTCATGGAGTAAGGGTCACAGTAAAACAAAATTTCTTTTAAAAAATTAAATACCGGGCTGGGAAGGTAGCTCAGTGGTAGAGCGCTTGCCTTGCATGCTCGAGGCCCTGGGTTCGATTCCTCAGCACCACCTAAGCAAAAAGAAAAAAGCCGGAAGTGGTGCTGTGGCTCAAGTGGTAGAGCGCTAGCCTTGAGCTGAAGAGCTGAGGGATAGCACCCAGGCCCAGAGTTCAGGCCCCACGACCGGACCCAAAAAAAAAAATTAAATACCATTAATATGCAGTATTTTGCCAATTAGCTATGTCATCACTCAATTCTACTAATGTGGAAAGTTGGTTGTTTTTTTTTGTCGGTTGTGGGGCCTGAACTCTTGGCCTGGGTATTGTCCCTCAGCTCTTCAGCTCAAGGGTTAGCTCTACCACTTAAGACACAGAACCACTTGCAGCTTTTTCTGCTTATGTGGTGCTGAGGAATCGAACCCAGGGCCTCATGCATGCAAGGCAAGCACTCTACCACTGAGCAACCCTCCCAGCCCCTGGAGTTTCTTTGTCTAGAAGTTTCAAGTTACTTTGAGATTATCAAATGTAACTTAGCAATATAACTTGAGAAATCTGCAAGAAATACCCCATAATAAACTAAATGGGATTCAGAAAACTTGACTTTCCATTCATTCTCCTATTCACATTTAGGCAAGTCATTTCCTCTCTCTGGGTTTATTTCCTAAACTGTAAAGTTACAGAGGGATTCAGAGATGCTAATTTACAAACTTATGAGACATCTTGGTAAACTTCTTGTGATTATATGCAAAATTCCATTACATATGGACATTCTTCTAGAGAGATAGCTAAATTTTCATGAAATTCTTAAAGGAGCATGTAGCTAAGAAAGTTAAGACATATTTGACTACCCAGCTTTTTAATCCTATTCACTCTTCAACCTATGTTTTATTTTCCTTTACCAGTACTGGTGTTTGAACTCAAGACCTATCATTTGAGTCATGCCTGGCTTTTTGCTGGTTAATTGGAGATGGAGTCTCGGGGACTTTTTTTTTTGCCCCAGCTGGCTTTGAACTGAAATACTCCAGGTCTGCAGCCTCCTGAGCAACTAGAATTACAGGCATGTCACTCCTCACTCTCCTTTATGACAACTCTGGGAACAAAGTCTGGATCAGGGCACACACACACACACACACACACACACACACACACACACACGAGTACCTGGAATCCTGGGGCAAGATATGAACTTTTCTGATCATTTTGGTTTCTAAGGATCTGAAATGGATTTACTTCTAGTGGGAAGATCTGAGCCAAAACCTCCCAATGATCTGACATCCTGCAACTGTGCATCACCCCAAGCCCAAGTCACAAAGTTCTGGCTGTGCTTAAAGGCCAAGCGGATCCCCTGAATTCCATGGAAAGTTCACCTACTCCCACTCTATGTTATGTGCCTATCCCCAAAATATCATCATTCTAGTGGTTTGAAATCCCTCCCTCAGGAATTCAATGCTTTGGGGTTTGGGGGTCGGAACATCCTGCACAAACCAACTCCTTTGGGAGGAAGAGTGAGGTCTTGAGTATGAAACTTGGGCGTGGATGGGAGGACAGGGAAAGGACCGGAAAAGGGAAGTGCGAGGCTGCGAGGTTCTGCACAGGGACGCCGACTCGGCTGGAAGTAGCCTCGAGGACGCAGGAGTCCAAAGGGCTGTTGGCACAGTGTGCCTAGCGCCCTCTACAAGACCAATCCCCGGAGTGGAGAGCCAGAGCCAAGGCTCAAACTTCACCCGGAAGCAAGGGGCGAGAAGGCGGAGGCCCGTGATTCCTCTGCCTTCGCTCCAGTTCTGCCCTGGCTCTGGCCTCGCCCCGGTACCCGGCCGGAGGCAGTGAGCGCTCGCTCTCCTGGCTACCGTCCCCACCCGGTGCCGGCGCCACCTTGGTACGGGAAGAGGCAGAGCCGAGCTCGGGACCTCTTTCTCAAGTCTCGCTAGCTGCCCATGCTTCTCAACCATCGCCCAATCGCGAGGGTCCTCCGCCGGTCCCCTCCACGGAGGCCACCATTTCTCCACGTCTTCCTTAGCAAGATGGCCACAAACGCACTTCCGGTGTGTGTGTGCTTACAATTGCGTCCGGGCGGCTGCAGCGGGCGCCTTCTATACGTTCCGGGCTCTTGGCTGCACCGAGCCCAGCGGTGATGGCGGGCAGGCAGTCCGCTTGGAGCCGAGCGGCTGTTTTCAAGCTCCTTCTTGGCGTAAACTTGATGGTGATACCATCCACCCAGGGCCGGAGTCTGCGCTTCGTTACCTTGGTAATGGGCGACAGAGTCACCAAACGGTTCAGCAGAGCTAGTGGGGCAGAGGCCTGCAGGTGGAGGGAGGGACGGGGCTTGAGCTGGAGGTAGGGGTCTGGAGGAGGAGGAAGAGCTGATTTGAGGAGACAGTCTGCTTGGGGGGAAGTTCGAGGCTAGATTCAGAATTGATGTGGTGGCCTGGGCCATTCAGGGCGGGGGGCAGAGCATCTCAGCAGGGACTTCTTTATTAGGGGTAAGTGATATGAACCTGCCCTAGAATGGGGATGTACTTAAAAGGTTAAGAGTTTGAACCATAAAGATGACTTTGGTGATTCCCTCCCCCCTTCCCCCGTCCCGACCAAATACATTCCTTCACCACACTTTTTCCTTCCCAATCTGTGCTTTTGGCTTTGCTTATAGCCTCTGGTTACATTGCTTGGCCAAGTAAGAATCTTTCAGAAGTGGAGTCTTTTGCAGTGGATAATGGGAGGCTTCCAAAAAGGATTGAGGGTTCTTTCTCTACTATAGGTCAGTAGTGGGCTGTGTGACCCCATCAAAGAGACCCTTATGAATTGCAAGCTAACCATTTTCTTTCCTCAGCTGTACCGACATGGAGATCGCTCACCAGTGAAGACATATCCCAAGGACCCCTATCAAGAAGAGGAATGGCCCCAAGGATTTGGCCAACTAACCAAGGTAGGTCAGAAGGTAGCTTACACTCAGGATGAGCTGTAGAATGAGTACCCCTGGAGCAGTCTACAGGCCCCCTACACTGCCCATTTCCACATGACTGCTGTTTTCTTGTAGTGTTGGGAATAAAAGCACAGGGCCTCATGCATGGTCTATTACTGAGCTAAATCCCAGTAATGGCTAGATTTTTTTTTTCAGTATTAGAATTTGAACTTAGGGTCGTGTGCTTGCTAAACACACACTAGACCCATAAGCCATTCCTCTAACCCTTCTTGCTTTATTGTTTCAAATAGGATCTTGCTTTTAGCAAGCTGTAATCCTATTTATGTGCTGCTTTTTTTTTTTTTCTGTCGGTCGTGGGGCCTGAACTCTGAGCCTGGGCGCTGTCCCTCAGCTCTTCAGCTTAAGGCTATGGTTCTACCACTTGAGCCACTGCACCACTTCCAGCTTTTTCTGCTTATGTGGTGCTGAGGAATCAAACCCAGGGCCTCATGCATGCAAGGCAAGCACTCTATCACTGAGCCACCTTCCCAGCCCCTTATGTGCTTCTTGAATGACAGAAATGCATCACTGTGCCTATCTTTTCAGTATCTGGAACTTTTTGACTAGGCTGGCCTGAAACTGTAGACTTCCTAAGCAGCTAGGATTACAGGCATGCACCACTATTTCAGATATCCTCTTTTTATGTGTGTGTGCCCCAGTCTCAGGACTTGAACTCAGGGTCTTATACTCAGTTTTTATGCTCATGGCTGGTGCTCTCCCACTTGAGCCACACCTCCACTATAGTATTTTGCTGGTTAATTGGAGATGGAGTCTCATAGGATTTTCTGCCCAGGCTAGCTTCAAACACTAATATTCCAGGAATCAGCCTCCTGAGTAGCTAGGATTACAGGATGAGCCATGGGCACCTGGCATGATCAGATGTCTTAACTTTACATTACTTTGTGCCTAGGACGAAAACTTCTGGGATCAGATTAACCCACTCACTCTTCCAGCAAGGGGTGAACTTAAATAATAAGAATGCCTAAGCCTTGGGCTGGGAAGGTGGCTCAGTGGAAGAGTGCTTGCCTTGCATCCATGAGGCCCTGGGTTCGATTCCTCAGCACGACATAAAGAAAAAAGCCGGAAGTGGTACTGTGGCTCAATTGGTAGAGCGCCTAGCCTTGAGCTGAAGAGCTGAGGGACAGCGCCCAGGCCCAGAGTTCAGGCCCCACCACTGGACCCCCCCCCCAAAAAAATGCCTAAGCCTTGCAGGCTTGTGAGCTATCCTTACTTACCTTTAGATGATGATGATGATGATGATGATGATGATTTGTGATCATGGGGCTTGAACTTGGGACCTGTCCCTGAGCTCTTTTACTCAAGGCTAGCGATCTACCATTTTATTTTATTTTTTTGGGGTCTGGTCGTGGGGCCTGAACTCTGGGCCTGGGCACTATCCCTCAGCTCTTCAGCTCAAGGCTAGCGCTCTACCACTTGAGCCACAGCGCCACTTCCAGCTTTTTTTTTTTCTCTTTGCTT